GCTGAACCAAACCACGTGATCGAGCCACAAGTGTGATCACAAGCGAACATTACTGGTCCAAATAAGCTTACCACTTAAGGGGTTCCCATCAACGGCATGATGGCATGGTGGAATAGGCCTTACACAGAGACCGGCGATTTCGCGGTGCGAATCCGGGGGCCACAGTCGTACCTCTTTGCGCGTTTCCTCACAGAGTACAACTGATTTTGCTGACAATAGTCCATACCAAAAATTATGATCAAACTTAGATTTCCGAGTGCGAAAAGTTTTAGATCTGTAGTTAGGTTTGATTCGAGATAACCGAAAACACACATGTCCGCTTCCTACCAAACTTTCATCGAAAGAAAGAGAGGTCTTTGTGGGACATTTTAGAGCGCGTGAATACATTTCGTGATGTTAATTTTGCGTATTATTTCCCTCACACTCGTCAAAAGGCCCATACTCTAAGTGGAGAAAATTCTCCAAACCGTGTGAGCCTATTTTCCCATATGCTTTAATTATCCATCTTTATTCATTTATACGCCTCAGGATTTTAACTCCCTCTTAACTTGGCTTGTGCGGAAATGCTCAACAGTTCCCTGGAAAGGTAGATGATGGCAACACACGAGCCGAAAAAACTCTATAGAAAGTTTTTAAATTTGCGGGATGCGCAAACACACACCAACGGTTGAATTGGAACGAAATGCTCAGCAGGTTGAAATAACCATATCAGTGAGGCAGCTGGGGTCAAGTTTGGAGTTGATGGAACGAGTATGCGAGGGGGTACGGTCGACAGAAGGACAAGAATATCTGCGAGTGTGCTACCAAAGTGGCAATGGCTGAGCCGTGACATCATCGGCCTGATAATAATAATAATAATGTTTATTCATAAAACTTGTGGGTGGCATACCGTCTGGCATGATCATAGTTTTACAGACAGAATGGAGCATGACTGAGGGATTTGTGGGGGTGCGGATTGCACAAAAAGAGGACAGTGTCACAAACAGTGGGGAACGCCCGATGATATAACAATAATGGGTTATTTCCCAACTTGTTGGGAAAAATGGGCATGAGGTTCGACTAGATCAAAGACAGTCAAGTGGCATGAACTAAAACTGAAAGCCATTGCTGGCCATGAGTGACCTTGGGTGGTTAGGTTTTTAGACAGCTCCGTACCGGACGTCAGATTTAAGGTCATTGGACCGGAGGATTCTTTGAGCACCGGGATTCTTTTCGGGGTGGCGGATTAAAAGGGGTAGAACGAAACCGATATAGGAACATAGGGTTTTGGTCCGATTGGTTGATTCTGTTGATGTGGATTATAGTCCAGGTGGGGTGGATAACAGCCATCCAGAGTGTTCAGAACATGTCCCAGTTAGCACCGGTGCAGAAATTTCTGCAGAATGTCTACACCTGGGTGCGGAACCAGTGCGGAAATTAAACAAGTTCCCGCACCCAGTCTGCACCCGTGTGCGGAAATCTCCGCACAATTCCGCACCCGGGTGCGGAAAATCCGTACTCAGTACCGGGATTTCCGCACCCAGTCCGCACTTAGCTAAAGTCGTCCGACGCGCAAATATAGCCCATTATACGGATTTATCTCTTTCACTCGCACGATTCAGTAACATCCTAAACACTAAGTGATAACCCATCTGCCCGAACATAATTGCTCAGCGTATCACCTTTCCGGATATCAATAAGCGCCTTCAAGTGCAAATGTTTTAATAAATGAATTTTAAAAAACTACAAGTGGCTCTCTGCATGCGTTTCCGAACTTTCTGCCGTTCGTTCTCCAGCCAGCGATGAACGATTTCCTTTATTTGTCGCGGATTTGTGTTCGGAAACTTCTCAGTTGTCGCGTCTGTAATGAAGAACATAGTTATTGAGTTTCATCCAGACACTGATTCAACTAGCTAAATATAAAATAACAATTGACTACTTACAAATAAGTCCTTGGGCCAGCCTGGTTGACCCGAAGGCTTCTTTGTCATTTATTCCGCGCCAGCTGAGTAGTACGGCCAGCCTTGGAGCCAACGTCCGCGTAAGCACGTTGGTCAGGTACACTTGTACATCGCCAGCCTCCTGCAAGAGCCACCTTTCCACCTTTGTGAAATCAACAATCGTGACTACAACTAATACTTACCAGCTGTGCATAGCGTGGACCATCTCTTAGATGTTCCTCATACTTTTGGAGATCATCCATGGATGAAAGCGGAAGAGGGGGCTCGTTGAGTGCCTCAGAACTGCTAGTGGGTACTAGAGCGTCTATCTTCATGTGCAGTCTTTGGAGCGACGAGTAAATCTTCTCTAAATTCTCTATAAAATAGTTTAATTAGAACATGGTAATCTACTCACTGAGAATGAGGTTGGCCAGATCCGGGGAAATTACGCTGGCCTTGGGATTTGGAGAGTTAGTTCTAGAAAGTAAAGTACATGGAATGTTGAGAAAACCTGGGGATCGGGGTAGAACTGCGTGGTGCTGGATCGCCCACGGCGGGAAGTGTTGTACACGTGGAACTGCTGATAGATTATTTGATGGTGGTAATGAAATAAAACGTACGTTCCACATATCGTCGGGGCATCACGAGGGACGGGTGGCGATCCAAGCAACCATAAAGCTTGACGAAATTGAATAAATGGGAGGTGTATGTTCTAAACTAAATGGCTGGGACCAAAAATAGCAGCAAATTTTGACACAGCAACCTTGGAAAAATCAATTAAAAAATGAACATAATGTTGTGAAAAAAGTGAACAGCCTATGAAAGTGGATACCGAAAAATACATGAAACATTCATAAACGTCAGGATGTAAGATATCTCGTAAAACAACGGGTCCTATGTACAGAAGAAACTGTCTTAGCTCAGCTGCCTTCCACTGACCCAGGTCTACGACACCTATATATTTTCAGGGGAAATCAATACTCAGAGCCAAACTCTGTTGCTCAATGTTATCATTCAGCAGATTCCAGGACTTTAAGGAAAGCTTGGCCTTGTGACCAATTGGCATAGATCTAAGATGAGAAATTTCCGCACTAAACCAAGACACACTATGCATGTAATCTGGTGGGAAACCGTCAATCATGGGAACATTAAGTCCTCCGTCGGACTTGGACCTATAGGATGCTTCTCTTGCTTTCTGGTCCGGAAATCATAGTCACGACGCAAGGGAGCCGTCAATGAGGGAAAAGTTATACGTGTGCCAATGTGCACACCCTTTTGTGTACACTAATCACAGCCATAATATCCTGTATGTCCCTTCACTTGCTTCAGAACGGCCCTAGCGGGATGTGGATGGTGGGATGTACATCCCACCGGCCTGTCGAACGCAGCAACGACGAAGGGTTTTCATTACGGTCCGTGTATCCTTCGGATGAGACGGAAAAAGGTATCTGAGTTTGACCATCACAACAGCTAAACCGGATAAAGGTAGGTTAAGCCTTCGCGCCATCCGACGAACAGCCGCTAAAATATTTCTATCTGGTTGTGAATGGTTTAAAAAAGATACTGATGAAAGGCAGTATAAGTGCAAGCAGAACATAAAAATAAAGCGTTCAGCTGTAGCACCCTTCCGGTGCCTAGCTGCCATGCCACCCGAAGGAAGCACGAGGGCTGGGATCCTGCCAGGTTGCCCAAGCCTAGCAGAACATACGGACTGATCCCTTCAACAACTTGCAGTGGGCTACCTTATGGCAAAAAGCAGGAACCGAAAGGTTCTCCAGGGACCGCAGTGGTGAATGTCTTTC